AAAATGAGTTATTGCGTACTGTATATTAACATAATTCTCGTTTTTTTTCGTGTAGATAGGTCTCTCACCGAACGTATTCATATCCTATGGTCATGGATACGAATAGAGATGATTGAATTTAATTTATTCAAGACTTCTATAATACGTTATGATTCATACGGATTGACTACATCAAGAATAACGACTCGTATCTATCTTGTTGTTCTCTTTCTATCGATTACAATTCTTACTATATATATAGCATCGAATGTTGAGAAACAAATTGTAACTATCAAAAATCCTTCAAAAATAGTTTATGAAAATTTATTTAAAAAGTATCCATTAACATTGAAATGTCCATGTAATCAAATAGTGATACCCTATGGTTCATTTATCTCATTTTCACCTGAATATCATCCGGTATGTTCAAGTTTATTTATTTCCGATGAATGGATCATTTCAACACGTGGAAGAACTTCGGTTGATAGATATCCTACAGTAAAATTTGAAGAATCTGGTCCATATTTTTTTAATACATTAGCTGCATTATGTTCATTAACACAAAATACTTTGTCTAATGCTTGGCAAATTTTTAAACGATCATCATTGATTACTGTTCAAGCATTGTCCTATGAAGAATTAAATGATCGATCCAATGCAACATTACAACAATTTATTCGAAATACACTAGCTGAATTTAAACGTATTCGTAGATTAATTTCAACACATAGTCATAATATGTTCTTAGCAGATTATAATACAAAATTTTCTACTTCATATGTAAATAATAATGATACATTTATTGAATTTTCTTCACTACCAATGATTATTGAGAATTGTTCATGTGCAATTAATAATGAATGTAAAAAATCGATCGGTTTATATTCCTATTATGATGAACAACTCATATTTGAAATACCGAATTTATTTATTAGTTGTTCAATCATTCAAGGTGTTCTAGAATCATCACTCGAATGTTTTTTTAGTCAATCCTGTTTAGATATTGTTCAATGGTATATTATATCAACGGAATCTATAGAAATACCTATTCTAAATGCGAGTAATACTCGTTTTTTACCTGAAACACCTATTGGCGTATTACTCGATTCACTTATGGTAGAACAATGGGGCCATCATATTCAATACGATCAATACTTTAATCAATGTGCAACAAAATTGTGTTCATATACATTTATATCACATCCTAATCCGTTGTATGTGATAACAATATTAGTTAGTTTATTTGGTGGACTCTCCATTGCATGGAGAATAATCTTGCCGATCATTGTTGGTATTAGGAGTTGTTCGAAAAAGACATTATCTATCAGGGGTAGGTAAAGTTGGAATAGGAAGTGGTACTATCTATGCATCAGTTCGACGGGAAAGAGACAATTCGTCAGTCACACATTTATACAGGTAGATACCGATCGAAAAAATCATTTATGTCATTCATCACATATTTCTCAACTGTGACTCTGTGTAATTTCTAGGTTCGACATATAGCGATAGTGAAATAACGCTTGATCTGGACACATAGTCATTAGAGACTTTTATCCCGCTAGTTCCAAATTTTGAAAATGAGAAGATATTTGACTTAGAACAGTTTAGATGAACAGAACTGTGCTTTTATGGTTCGTGAGTTGTATACTTGTAAATAATTGTTGATTTATGTTTGTTTTTTTTTGTCTAAAAAAAAATAGTTACTGCTATGAATTGTGTTATTCTGGTTTCAAATATTGTGAACGAAGAAATAAACTGGTACTCATTTTTGTGCGACATCTCGTCTCCAATAGGGCTAGTGATATACGGAATCGTATGCGATCGAAAATTTTCCCCACAACTAACACACAAACAAGTATGTTGTATGCACGAGATACTTTTCCATATCTCTTTATTACATTATTTTTTATAGATCATCCTCTCCGACTGATCGATCACATACAATGTGTATGGGAATCATTGAAGAATAAATTATTGAAATTCAATGTATTCGAAAATGAAGCAACATGGAATAATGAATATCATATTCGTACAGAAATTCTTGATACTCGTATCTATATTCTTTGTCTTGGTATTTCAATAATTATTCTAATCATTTATACATTATTAATTATTCAAACACAATCGATTATCATCAATAATCCATCTTTAATGCAATTCGAACATTTACAAAAAAATTCGAAATATTCTTCTACATTAAATTGTCCATGTCAAAATATTTCTATTGAATATAAATCATTTATTAAAATAAAAATGGATTATCATCCATTTTGTTCGAGTGATTTTATTTTAAATTCATCAATATGGCTTAATCAAATTTATTTTTCTCAAGCTACTCTCATTTATTCCTATATCGATTATCGATTATTTATTGTATCTCAATTTCAATGGCTTATTTCATTATGTACTTTAGCGAATGAGACATTATCCGATGAATTAATTCGTTTTTATTCAAATACATTCATTAGTAAACATTTACAATCACGTGAAAATTTTGAACAACAAGTTAATGTTACTATTGTTCAATTTCGTATATCAACACCACGAACATTTTTACGTATACTTGACACTATACGATCGATAGCACAAGGTAATAGTATTGTTTCATCGACAATGTCGAATTGGTATTTTTTTGCATTAAATCGAAATGTTGAAGGTGATTCATTGTGGAGTCAATCACGATTCTATGGTGAGAATAATAATTGTTCATGTGCTACAAATGCAATGTGTACATCACAGGCTACTATTAATGGATCGATTGTGCCTGGTTTTCGTGTCGGTTGTTATGCACTTGAAGCTCTTCTTCAATCGACTCTT